AGAGGTCTTTTAGAGAGAGGTAAAAGACATGGTAAGGTAGGTAGCATCACCCGTGATGACAATGTAAAAAAAATGAAAAATGAGAGCAGCTGTTGAAGTCAAGGGCAAAACAGGCCAGGTAAGATGCTGCAGAGCTCTGTAAGTAGAGCAGGTACACAGAGGTTGGCATGCACCAGCACTGAGACGGACACACAAGTGCACACACACATTCACACAGCACGCACACACACACACACACACACACACACACACACAGGGTGAATCTGTCCTCTCTTTACGGCCTATTTAACACACTCCTTTAAGCACAGGATCCCTGGGAATTACATCTATATTGGACAATTCTGCATCTTATGATCAACATCCAAGTTAATATGGTGCCCTGTATCTAAGCACCAAATGTTGGACTTGTTCTTTGGCATGTGATGAGTCCAACTCGCATCTAAAGATCCTCTTCTGCCACAGACCAGTAACTCACACTTGAATCTGTGTGATTCATTAACTAAATCTTGCACAGACGTCTACGTGTGTTAACCTAACCTAAAAGTTTATGTAATCAATAAGAGGATCACAAGCCTGCTTGTAGAGTTTAGAAAAGGGTATTGAAGCCGCAATTGAGTGTTTTTGATAAATGTTGAAACATCATTGAGCCTCCGAAATCTAAACTGCTTTGTTCCACTTCCACAACACTCCTCAGGGTCAGGATCTGTTTTAATCTTTAGTGTAAAGAGTAAACTACAACTGTATGTACAAAGCCAATGTCGACAGGCAGACAGATACACATGGAGAATGCTTTATGTGTAAAATCTACATGTTCTCATTGCCAAAACTTAGTCACGGTCTCAGTTTAGTAGCTGCAAAATAAACCCACCTCGGCTGTATCAGACGTTCAGAGAAACTGGTCTTAATTGTAAATGTCCACAAAAGGTGGCGGTGGAGGGCGGTGGAGGAGCAGGGCCGACCTCGTGTGAAACCAAAGAAGAAGAAAAACAAACGCTTCCCTGTGCTTTTGAACAACACACACTACCTTTTCTGTCTGTTTAAGATGTTAAAGCGGTGCGGTAAAGCGATTGCATTTCCTCAGATGAGAACATGTTAGAAAAGTAGGCATCGATTAACAAGTTCCAACACATCAAAGTAACTTGAGGTTACATATGAGCGCTGTGTCACATGTTTCTATTTCTGCCAGAAGGACCACAAAATGGTTATTGAGGTTTAAGAAAGGGTTTTAGATCTTACCCTAACCATGAGCATCCATATGTAGTTTCTATTCTGACATTTTTTCTTGACATCAACTCATTAAATAATTTCATGTGCAAGTATTGTAATGATGTAGACTAAATGTAAGAAACTGAATGCAGTCTAGGTTTTTTTTTGGTTTTTTAAATCAAACATCCAGCATTAATGTTCTGGAGAGTTTTGTGCATTCGTATCTTACTACCTCATACATGTTAGTCCACATGAAGTATCCTCACACTCACTCATATGGCCCTAGGGTGGCTGCGTGGTTACACAAAGTGCTGTTCAGCTGGTTCAACCCAAGCTATTTGTCCACAAACATCTGTACTGTTAATGGCTTTCAAACACACAATATGCTCACAATATGATGCTGAAAAACACATAAAACCTCACACTGAAAATAAACCTCACAATAGCAATCACAGGTGTTGTTTCCCCCTTTTCTGAAGTGTGCACTATGCACACAGACACAAATGGTGCTTTTGTACAGTGTGCTACACAAGCAGATACAGGCACACATACCTGCAAACAAAGGAGAAGGTGCTGGTATGCATGAACTAAAAGCACGTGCACGTTGTATTGTTGAGGAAAGGTTGCTAACAAAAAACCTCCTACCCACAAAGAAACACACACATACATACACACATACACACAACAGACAGCGGGACTGTTTTGCCATATTGTAAAGGGAAAGCTGTGTGATACATGAGCCTGTGTGTGCTCCCACTATCTGGCTCCTCATGTGAGGATTCACTCTTGTCTTGGGGAATCAGAAGTAGGCCGAGTCAGAGGATGTGCTCGTTTCATACACCATCGCTGTGGATCACAGCCAAGGACATTCTTGCTTTAAATTGACATTCTGGGGAATTTCAGTAATAAAGAATTAATCAGATTATCAGAAAAATAGGATTATAAAGAAGATACAGCACGGGTCAGCTGAACTGTAATTTATGTGTGTTAAATACCGACCATCACCGAAGACGTTGTTACACCAGCACTTCAGAGGTTCTTATCCCAGATTTTTGGGATACTAAAAAAGCAATTAATCAGGAGAAAATGAGCCTGAAGTATATTGTGGTATTAATGAAATATGAGTAAGCTATAATGAAATATACATAAAAATAGCTTGGCCTAGTTTCATCTTATGGAGCTACAGTAAATGATAGTTACATGGTGTCTTTGGTCCGTCCTTGCTTTTAGTCTTCCCAGTCCAGGCTCAGAGCATGCATCATGTGACTTAAAGGAATATATTATTAATAAAGGTAATTTTATGTACATGGGGGGGGATTCTGAACAACATGAAAGGAAAATGTTGACCAGGTTACATCATGCAAGTACAATCTATAACAATCTGCATCATCATCTATAATTCAGCTGATACAGCAGAACAGAAAGCACATTCCTTAGGTTCCTGTTTTGACGTAATGTTGACAAAGTGATTTGCGATCTGGAGTCATGATATTTTGCTTTATTTGAAATTGACCGGATGCTCTGTGCGTTCTCGTATCTGATTTTGTGTCTGTAAAGATCTGCTCATGCTCAGGTCGACGCGTCATGGCAGCGGGCTCCGTCGAAAGTAGACGCGGCGTGTATTCGAAACGGAGCGCTGATGGAATGCTTCGAGAGGCGGCATGTGCTGTGGATACACGAGCATGGACTAGAGTGGGAGCGAACAAAGCCGAACTGATAGACCGCGGCGCGCGTGGAGTATGTGGAAATTGGCCGTTCATTTGCATAATCAAGGGTGGACTGAGCTGACAGACCAGTGTATAGCAGCCGTTTGCGATACGAGGAGGGAAAAATTAGGTTGAGATAATAATTCCAACATGGCCACTGCCATCGTTGGAATTCAAAGCATCTCTCCAGAAACCAATGGGTGACGTTGCTAAGACGTGTCAATGTTTTAGAAAGTCTATGGTTTTTACCTTTTAAGATGGAGCTGATTTAACTCGTTTTTCCACTTTTCCTGAAGTCATCCATTTTCTAACAGTAGCACAAATAATGCTTTATGCCAACAAAAAGGTAGGTATTTGATTTGCCCTCAAAGTATCTATCTATCTATCTATCCATCTATCTATCTATCTAAGCATGATGTGCAAGCAAGAAATACATACTGACTGGTGTTGCAACATCAGTTTAAGCTGTCTGATAGACTTTTGGATCAACTGTATCCATAATAAGTGAAAAGGTTGCAAGTTGTCAACATTATCACAGTTTAATTAATTACGATCCAGTATCAAGATTATTTTATCCACCGATCCTATCTTGAATCCCGATGAGATGAACTGAGGTTTTAGATTTGCATGAGTAAATGTAATCAGAAACTTCCCAGAGAATATGCCCTTGCCAAACATACATGGGACTAGACTCACATTTGAAACTGAAATCCTGCATCCAAGCACTCACAGAGGAATGTGTTGCGCGCAGTGTGTGATGTTTTTTTAAGTTCACCTGACCTTTAAATCAAAGGAATCTTACCTGCAGAATATGACACACATCGAGCCAGTGAGTGGGTAGCACTGAAAAGTTTGGAGCTAATACTCCACAGCTGCTATCTTGGATTTATAATGGATTCCCACAATGACCCTGTATCACAGAAGGGGGGAAGGCGTCAAAAAAAACATCCATGCAAGCATTTCATAGCATACACTGCAGTGTTATCCACGACTTGTCATCTGCCAATTTCAAATTAGGAAACAAAATACTTCAAAATGTGCCAAAACAGGGCAAAGATAACTGATTTGACTAGTAGTGAATGAAAACAGATGTAATATTTCCAAAACTGTTAAATGTCATAATGAAGGGAAACTATAAGTAGCCTTACTAATATTCTGTTTTCATTTATACCCCGCTATCTTGCAGTGGTATTTCCCTAGAAGGTGTTTTCATTCATTTGAGGGCTGGGATTAATTACACTCCTAAGAAAATTGAACAAGCAGCTGTAACTATTACCAAAAAGGGACCGCAACAAAAAATTAGAAATGAAAGCCAGCCTTTTCACGCCTTTCATGTGAAAAGTCAGGGCAGGAAGTTGATCTACAATTTGAGCTGAAAGGGATTTTACAATTCTGAGGCGCTCTTTCATTCACAGAAATGTTTCACATTACATGAAGGAGTTCAGCCCATTGCTGGTAGGATTTTTATTCATGAGCTATAGGCTAATGCAGTAGTTCCCAGAAAGAAGAACCTCCTTGCACATGCTGCCTCAGTTCTTTAAAATAACATCTTAGTAACATTGCATGGCTTTAACAATTAAAGCAGACAACATGGTGAGACTTGATGTATAGTTTCACCCAAACATGCACTGAATGAGACAGACTAAAGAAAAATAATGAATATGATATGATGCAAAAGTGCAAATACACCTACAGTTGCTTGTTTTAGGCCTTTAGAGAACAAATAGAAAAGCACATTTTGCAATAAACTAACTTTTAGAGTCCTCTCTGACAACATTGGATTTAGTTTTAGATACTAAAAGGGCATTTACAAAGTTAAAAATGCCGTAGCTTTAATGTTTCTCTCATTACGGTTTTCATTCAGTAGATGGCATGATGTTATATGAAAGCAGAAAGCATTTAAACCTTTAATGTGAGAGGAAAGCTGTCTGCAGGCTTTGCTCTGCAGTGTTTCAGAGCGACAACAACAGGAAACATGAGGCTGCTGTCTGGAGGGCTGGCCTCACCGTAATGACTGGAGTCAGGTAACCAGCGGACACACCGACTCTTTCCCCCCTCACAGACGGGCTCAGACACGAAGGAGAAGCGGTGAGAGGGACTTTTCGCGACGGTTTCACGTCGGTTTTGTTTTTTTGTGTACCCACGTACCGACTTTGCTTCCGAAACAAAGTAAAGAGGGCTGTAAAAGTTTGACAAACTCATCAGCGTGTCGTTCATGTGACGGGTGGTGCGTTCAGGAGCTCAGCGAGGAGGCTACTCAGGTGTTCATCTGGCGCGAGGAAGTTGTTCGTCGCTTGCTGCTTTTTTTTTTTTTTTTTTTTTGCGACATAATTTATTAATCTGAAAGGAGGATTTCGCTTGTTTGTTTGGTCGTGTTTCGCTTTCCACACCTTTTTTTTCTGGGTTTCTCTTTCCGCTTTCGGTCCATTTTGGGGACGTAAAAAAAAAAAAAAAACCATCAAGTGGACGCGTTTTTTTTTTTTAAACAGGTATGTGCATTTTTGACATTTTGACTGCTGTCTGTCATCAAGAAGTTGAAGTTAGTTGTAATTTGTGGTCGGTTGACAACTTCTGAAACTGGGCCAAGTTGTGGAAGTGAGTTCAGCCATAGTTGGAGAGCCCAGGCAGCTGTTGACTTTTCTGACCCCTGTTAAGCATTAGCCTACTAACCAAAGAGTCAAACAATGACTAAAAACCTCTTTGACAGTTAACGTGGCCGTTCATTTGTTACTTGCTGAAGTCAATTGTTTTCTAACACCCTTTGGCTTTCGTAAACAGCCTACTCATCCTTAACAAAATCTATAAATTGCACTTCGGTAGCCTACAAACTTTTTGTGTGCACAGTTGTGAGTTAACAGTAGTAGTATCACCTTATCATAACCTAAATACCGTCTAAGATATGCATTGATGTTTCTGCTGTGTTTTACTTCTTTTTTTTTTCACTCTAGCTTTTTTTTTTTTATTGCATCCTCTTTCTCACTACAGTTTTATGAGTATGCAAAGCCACGAGCCTGCAGGGCATTTACAACAGTTTATGTTGCAGTGGTTAAGATAGCACCGCTATCTTTTGACACTTTGCTTGCTGCTGTTGCAGTTGCATCTAGGCCTACATAACTAAACACACACACACACACACACAGACACACAGACACACACACACACCTTACATAAAGCACAGTCAAGATCTCAAATTCTGAACATCAGATTAACCACACATTTCCTCTTCTACCTCTTGTAAGAATGACTTGGCTACATTAACACTTGGCTGTCTCATCACTTTCTAAAACACTTAGGCTAGATACTTAAGCTTCATTAAAACAAGCCCATTTCTGCACAAGAAGCCATCAAACAAATGCTGCTTAGCAGGCAGCTAAGCATACTGATTTACAAGCAGAAATCCCTGCAGGAGCTCCTGACGTTGCTCTTCTTCTGTCAGGCTGAAGGAGTGAGGGCCTGGAGGCCATCCGAGGGGGTGTTACCCCCCTCTGTCTTAATTTGACTCGCAGGAAAGGGTAACTTTCTTGGGTTTGTTAACGAGCATGCTTATGGACAAAGTTTCAAAGAGAAGCTCCACATGAAAGATCAGTGCACAGGATGTGTGGAAATCTAAATGTCACAGCAGCCAAAGAAGAAAGCTGATTACAATCCATGTGTTAGATGTTGTAATAATGTTACTTTGTGTATGTTTTAGTCACTTTAAACAGGGCTCTGAAACAACAATTTGTTGTCCATTTTGTCACTCTGTCGTGAATATTCTCAGCTGTGTGATTGCACGAGTGCAGTGTTGATTTAGCTTGTCTTGAATTCTGGGGCACTTTGTGGTTTTAGTCACTCGTAGAGCTCAACGGTGTCTTTGAGTTATTGAGTAGATCTGACTCCTCCATTCCCCCCCCCCTTCTGTCTTTCTGTATCTAAACATCTGTTGCATTTAGCAAGGATATAGTTTCAGTCATTTCTAGCTGTGGTATGATTGCAATTCAGCTGAAAAGGTTTTTTTTTCTTTGCAAACAAAATATAGTATAGAGGGGCTGATGTGGTTGATGTGTTAATCACTTTCAGAGCAGGCTACAGGTTTGATTTGAATCAGTAAAAATCTAATCAAATGCATGAAGGAGGACGAGAGAGGAATAAGCAAGATAGCCGTTAAATACAGATGAAAGGGAAACCGTGTGGTAGTCAGCACCACCAATCAGCACGAGTCTTATCTTTACAAATCTTGTTGCAGAAGAGTCAGACTCTGACAACAGTGTAGAAGGAGATTAAACACTGAAAGATAGAGGGGAGGAGACGAAGGAGAAGCGGGAGTGATCAAATCCTCCAATTCTTGGCTTGGAAAACTGGATGATGGATGAGCTTTCTTTCCTCACTGCTATTTTGCCCTTAGCAAAATCTCTGTCCACCCTCAGTGTAAGTGATACCGTAACCCCCCCTCCCCTCCCCACACACACACACACACACTTTTCCTTCCAACAGTTAAACATCATCATTAGAAATAATCTCCGCCGTGACTACTTGTACATTTCCATATTTAACTGAGCAACATGGGTTCTGAAGCATATTTGGATGCCTTTTTTCAAAATCCTGTTAGTCTCAGTAGGTGCCCTCGCTTCATGTCATGTAGCCATTTCTCTAACTGTGTGTTGAGATTGCACAAACATGCTGCAGGCTGTTATTATTATGGCTGTGCAGAGGATTAGACTCAGACGTCACCTGGTGAACAAAGATGGTTCATCTGGAAACAACAGATCAGTAACACCCTGACCACACAGGAGGAGATTTTTCTTCCAGTAATGGAGATCTCAAATATTCAACAGGCTAAACAAAGGGGTTTGTTTAGTTTTTTCTCAGTTAAATATTCCTGTTTTTGTACATACTGAAGTTGTCAACATTTTCATTGATACTTTTTGAGAAACTCTGTAACTTTAATGATTGATAGTATCAAGAAAGTACCAAAGATTTAAAAAAAAAAAAATCTACAGATCTTCAGTCATACTTTTGATCAAAATTCATTGGCAGGGTTTTAGTACCAACATATTTGTGCAATTCATGTATTTATTTTAAATGTCCAACAGGATACCCCATGCACAGCCTAGTCGTTCTCAGGTGCGCACAGTTGCAGGAAGATATGAAAAAAAATAAATCAATAATCTGTGGCACATGGAAGATAACTTAACTGTATTTCATTGTGAGCGAACAACGCAGGTGAACCTGAGGAAGCTACAGGCGAAATATGTGCCAATGATTTTTGATTCAGTATGGAGCATGCAAAGCTTTGTCACTCACCACAGCATTCATAGCCTAAGTAATTTGCAATGCATGTCTTTAGATTGGTCTCTAAAATACATAATGGAATCATAAAGACACACCCAGGATTCTTAAATCAGACCAATCAAAGGGTCTTTAGAAACACAGAGCTTTTAGGCTGACTGATGATATCAGGGCTGTTAGAATTCAGAAATTGGATATTATCAATCAAATTAAAATTGATACCAGTTTTCCGTACCACGGCAACAAAAACTTAACGTTGGGTAATTTCTGTTTTTTATTACCAACCATGCAATCAAACTCCTGCAAAATGCCTAAGTATGGAAGCATTGAAAATGTATGTGTGCAATTTAGACACTGCTCTCTCTATTTTGCTCGAGGCAGTTTTTGGTTAAGAATAGGACTGAAGATATGTACTTTTTATTGAAGCTTCTTGACTTTTAGATACTACCTTTCATTAAAATTCCTCAGATGGTATCATTTTTCAAACACTTGGTATTTGAAGGTATCAAATTATCTAACCTCTTGACAATTGTAGATGAAATAGATCTTCATGTGTTAAAATGGTGGAGTGGCCTTTTTAAAGCAGGTTAATCTCAGACGATTGTCTGTTTTAGTGTGAAATATGACCGCTTCACTGTCAACCGTGAGACTGATTGGAGTTGAGACATCAAAGCTAAATTGCTCCCCAGTAACCATATGACCTGCAGCATGTTTCTGCACTATGTCGCCCTGTCAGTCCTGACATACCTGAGATACCAGCCACGCCTCCTCATTCAGGGCACAACTCTGATTTCAATGACTTCAGCTTCTGCTGGTCTTCAAATCCTTGTGTCTTTGTCGTTCAACAAAAGGTGTTTTCAAACAGGCGTGTTTGAATCATTCTGCTTGTGTGTCTGTGTGAGGTATTTCTCTCATTTGCAACAGTCTGATGACTGAAGGCCTCAGAGATTCAGGCAGACAGTGGGGTGAAAAGGGGAGGAGGACAGAAAAACATTTACCATCTTGTGTTTACTTAATGTCTGTACACATGCCCTTCTTTTGACACCAACAACAATGTATTAGTCAAGCAGACGAGGATTAGACGGTTAAGTAATGTGCTGTGGTTGTGAAGGTAATGGTGTGTGGAGATAACTGCCAAAAAAAAAAAAAACCTGAGCTGCCCCTGACAAGATAATATTTTAGCTTCTTAACGTCCCAGCATTTAACATCTTCATCATGAATTTTTTGAAAGTCTAGTAAGATGAAAGTGAAATTAAGCAGCTATTCCCTCCACTTATTACAAAAACATACACCCTCTCTAGTTTATGAAGTAAACCTAATTAAATCTTATTCAAAGCAGCCCCACAAGAAATCCAACATCCTTAAAGGAATAGTTGAATATGTCGTTTTTTTGTCTGTTTAGACACATTTCCATATACCACATTCATTGATATAATGATAATAAAAACTAAATAGTTGTACTACTGATACAGATACCAGTATTAGAAATGCCACCTAAAATGTGATCACCATTTGACAGCCTGTGCACCAATCTGATACAGTAATCTAAGCCAAGAGACCAACAACAGAAATCCTTTCTTCCTTCCAACTTGCTGAAACAATGGATGCATTATCACCTGCACCCATAACTGTCGCAATAACATTCATTTGCAAAACAGATCAACACCATACTGGAAATACGTGCCCTGAGAGTTTTGATTAGCATTTGAAATAAGGCTGTGTTCTGATTCAAAATCTGTTCTGATGGGAGAGAAAAAAAAAACCCTTATGGGGAACTGGGTCAAAGCAACATAACTTCAGTCTCAGTGATATTTCCTTAA